ATTAAAACCAAATCACTCAAATAGTTCGTTTAATCCTGTATAATATTTGAAAAATTAATTAAGATGTTAACAAAAATTTATTGAATTGTGGAGTTGGTAGTATTTAATCTTCTCACTTTAGATATCCATCTAAACGCTTTCACTTCCACTTTAGAAAATAATACTCCCTCCGTCTCATTAGAAGGTTCCCACTTTCCTTTTTTGGACGTTCCATATAAAGATTTCCATTTCCATTTTAGGAAACAATTAACAATCTTAAGTGACAAATTAATCATTAAATATTAAAAATAATACATTTATAATATCACAGTTATCAATCCTAACTACTCCCTCCGTCCTGTTGGAATGTTCCCGCTTTCCTTTTTTGGATGTCCCGTTGGAAAGTTCTCATTTCCCTAAATGGAAAGTTATCCTACATCAAAACAGGGTCAAACAGTGCAAAACAGTGTCAAACAGTGTCGAAACAATGCCAAACAGTGTCGAAACAGTGTCAAAACAGTAAAATTTACCCCCTGGTTAGTTTATTTCCTTAATATGTGTGTAGGTCAAACCGGGAACATTCCAACGGGACGGAGGGAGTACATTATAATATATACCTATTAAAATTATTTATTAAAATATACTCGAAATACTTTATTTAATTATTTTCTAAATAACCGTGTCGTTTTGCTATGAGAACCTTCCAATGGGACGGAGGTAGTAATTTAATAATCAAATATTAAAAACAACACATCTCTAACATCACAGACTCACCATTGTCATCAAATATAAAAAATATATCCATCAGGCTTACTTTTCAAAATATATTGAATAACCTTTTTAATTATTGTCTATATACTTGTGTCATTTTTCAATGAAAAATTTAAGCGCGAACCATGGACAACTGTTCAAGTATTGAGTGGTGAGTTTACAAAGAAAAAGATTGGAAGATAATATGAATGGCGCATGTAGAGCCGGATGACCCCAAAAGAGCGAACAAATCTGATGGACATAACGTACCAAATACCAATGTCATGAAAACCATTTTTAGCTCACCCATGCACGTGGTTGGCACTACTTAATTAAGTTTGGGATATGATCAAGTGATGTAAAGATACATAGACAAGGCAGTACGTACAATACAAAAGTTTAATTATTAGGGAATACAAACCCATAATGATCTGAGACATTAATTATTTAAATGCGGAGTATTAAATTAAGAGCCAGATTAATAAAGTAAAAAAAAAAAGAAGGATGACACCCTATCCTGGCCAGGCTGGCCCCCAACCCCGACCGAACGATACGTTGGGAGGATGTAAGTTGGACTATAATCTCAATCTGACAGATAGAGAGATAGGCTATGTTCCCGATAAGTTGGGGCAGATTCATAAAGTGAAACATGAATAGCATTACAACAAATTGAACTTTTTTTATCGATGTGAACCGTACATTATACTACGTACTAATCATCAATGCGCATTGTCTCCAACCTAAATGTAAGCTATTTTTAATCGTTCTCATTTTTTCACGTAAAGATGTGTGATAGCCTAATAGTGTTGTGGCCAGGGCATAGCCGGGGGTGGCCAACCTAGGATCTGGCCCATCTTAAATTTAAAAAATGTTTATATTTTTTGTGTAAAAAGTTACAAAGAAAAAGAATATTCTTTGTATCGGTCAAGTCTGATTCAATGCCCTGACTCCGTCCCTCATTGTGGCGTGTGGATTAGTTGGTAGTAGGTTAGTGTTGAACTAACGGCGGCAGGCTGAATGGCTGGTACGATGATGGGAAAGTGGGAAACTCACAAGGAAGCTAAGGAGTAAGGCCAGGAGTTATATGGACCAGACTTTAGGGTTGTCTAGAAAGATCAAAGGAGCGATTATTTGGGAATATAAAAGAAGAAATAATTACATAAATATGAACAAAATAAAGATGCTTTACAAAAATTTGACTAGTTACTAGAGTAGTAATGAAATCATAGTAATTTATGTTCAAGTTTTGAACTTAAGTTACCACAACACTACATTGTGTAATAAATAGTCATATTTATGTAAATAAGTTTTACATAAATAAGTTACATATAAGAATATTGGTTATTACTTCGATAAAATTCTTTAAATCAATGTAACACATAAATAGGATTAAATAAGTCCTATTTGAAAAATAAAACAAATTTAGTCACAATTTTAAAATTTATCCATGTTTTATTACAATTTTTTTGAACAAATTTTTTATTACATTTTTTCAAACAGCTTCGTTTATTGGCATAGCCTGGCCGGTCTCTCACTCTACGCTAGATCGAAGTAATCAATTTTTACTTTGTGTGTGAATGAAGATAAGGATGTTTTTACTTGGATTGTAATTCCTTCCAGACCAGATCAGACTAGACAAGATCAATTCAGATCAGATCAGACTTGAATAGTTAATAAAATACAAAAAAACAAGACGAGACCAGATCAGATCAGACCAACAAATTTTCGATCCAAGTAAAAAACATCGTGATTTGGCATAAATTTGGGCTCTACATCTTACATTGGAATTTGTATAATAATACGTACCTATATACGGAGTATGATCTGCATGTGCGAGAAGACTTGACACATTTCATGTAGGAGGTTGAACCTATGCATTTATTCGTACGTTATGATATCGATAATTCTCACTTCTTTAATGGATTTATATATTATTGCTTCACTTCCATTCTACCTTTTCTCTACCTGCATCCATATCAACATATTAACCATCGACACAGACACACACAAGAAATGATAAGAATTGGTTGGAGCTGTGTACATATTGAGAGGGACCTCTTAATGCGGCATGACCGTCTAAAAAATTTGGAGGCCTCGGTTCAAAATGTAAATTTGGGGCCCTACATTAATACGAGTATAAATTTTCTTAAATAAAATCTCAATCCAAATACCTATACTCAAATAAATGGAATGTTCATTAAAAGAGAACTAAAAGAGTAAAAGGATCAACGAAAAAAATGATGTATCTATATTTTTCTTTCTTACTAGTTAACTGTATTTTACTGATTAGTATTAATATACGAAGTATAATATTACTATATAATACTAATAAGTTTTTAAAAATTTGGGGCCCCTTAAATTCGGGGGCCCTGTTCTGGATAACCTATTGAACCCCCTAAAAAACGGTCATGTAATGCGGTACCTGATCGAACTATTGATATCGTTGCATTTTGGTTACTTAACTCTTAATTGAATCAAAAGAGTACGATAACTATACATAAATGTTTCAATTTGAGATTTTATTCAAATTTGCGGCCAAAAATCACACGTGGCGGCCAAAATTCTATGCGCAAAGTCTACTTCACCTTATTTTTGTCTATATAATCACTATAGGCAGGGGCGGACCCAGGAAAGTCATCTTAGGGGGGCGAAAATATGTTTTGGGGGGTTCAAAATATTTTTTCGGAGGGAGAAAATTATTTTTCATATATATACACTAAAAAAATTCTTGTTGGGGGGGCGGTAACCCCCCTGGGTCTGTACTACGGTCCGCCCCTGACTATAGGGTGACTCTACACATGAAATTTTGATCCCCGTGAAGGATTTTTTGGTCATTAATTTGAATAAAATCTCAAGTTGAAACATTTATGTATAGTTATGGTACTAATTGGATTCGTTTAAGAGTTAAGGTACCAAAACGCAACAATACGAATAGTTAAGGTACCATTTATGCATTTAACCGATGAATAATTCTTGAATTCGAAATTTCATCGAAGAGGGAAAAAATGAGATATTCATTAATTATGAATATTACAAGATTAAGCGCACGTTATTAAGGCTAGATGGCATGCAATAGAATGATAGATCTTAGTCAATGAAATGATTTGTGAAGTTATTAATGACAACATGATGCTACAATTCCATGGTCAAACTAGTCCCTGATCTTCCGTCAGTTTAATCATCTGAGCCCTTAAGCTTAATTCGATCGATATGATCTTCCTTAAGACGTTAACAAGAGACAAAAGAGAGTGACACACAAATTAATAAAAAATGGTTTATGTGGTTGATATTGAATTGATAAAGTAAGAATAAAGTAAGAATGATTTAGAGCCACACAAACTTTATCAAATTTGATATGGTACAATCTTATTGGGACGGAACGATAAAGTAAAATGAGAAAATCATAGCGAGACGGTAGTAGTAATTTAGTAAATCTATATATCATGATACCATTACTGGTTTTCTTAAGAGGCACCACCTTACTCATCTTACTTTTAGAGTTTTGGAGATGATGATCATGTACTGGTTTTCTTAAATGCATAAATCACTTTTGATGGTTGATCTCATAAGAGTTTCAAAGTTTCATTCAATTTGAAGACTGAACTCCACTCATATGATTGATCGCATCCTTAGTGAAACCAAAAATAATATCGTCATACTAACAATGTCGAGTTAATTTTCCAATTTAAAAGAAAAAACATTTACCAAGAAGGTATTATGAAAGTCTTTCATATCAAGCACACCGGGATCGTTTTAATCCATAATGGGCGAAAATTTGATTTTCAACAGAACCAAACAAGTCTTTGAGAACAAAATATAGGAGTGATGTGTTTTTCAATTCCTCAAGTACAAGTAAATTACTGTTATCCTGATACCGTCATACTTTGATATTACCCTGTCTTTAACATGACAATATACAACTATGCACAGGGGCGGACCGTAGTAGAGACCCAGGGCGGCTACCGCCCCCCAACAAAAAATTTTTAGTGTATATATATACGAAAAATGATTTTTGTTCTTCCAAAAAGTATTTTGAACCCCCCCAAAAATATTTTCGCACCCCCAAAATGACTTTCCTGGGTCCGCCCCTGACTATGCATAAATAGCATGCGTGACAATATTTTCCGAGTTTGATAGTAATTACTCCTATTTAGGGAATCAAAACATAATACTTTTATATATTTTGCAATTTCCAAATGTTTTTACTTCTCTATTTAAGACAATTTTTTTTAATTATTCCTATCTTTTCTTTCACATATTTTATGTTGTATTGGATTTCCAGCTTATACTTTATAGTTTTTTTTTTTTTTTTTTTGCCTAAGATATATACCCCAAAGGCGCGTGATGACCCGTGTCTCGTAAGTTCAAATACAGTTTGTATAACCAAGTTTTGCGGTTGACAATTAGCCAATTAATTCTTTTTTTTTCTACGAATCATGAATGTCATTATTAAAACTTGGAGTTCCATTCTAAAACGTCAACATGATAGCACTTCATTCCTTCCCAAATTTGAGTGTGTACCTTCAACGGTCATTAATCATTTTTGTTTTGAGAAAAAAGAGTAAGAAAGAAGCCAAAAGGTTGACAAAGAAGTGCTACTATTAATGTGAAACCAATTCTATGGATTGGCCCCAGTATGAGCCTATATCGTTAATATAATACATATAGAGGGATCCAATCAGTATGTATAGGGATACATATATAGCCTATTTATGTGAAACCAATTCTATGAGTAGTAATTAGTATGTATATATATGATGGGATCCAACATATAATTGTGTATCGCATTTCAAACCGCCATGTGAGGTAGGAGACCACCAACCAGCCATGTCTCAACTCTTGGGTTGCTTTCCGACGACATTTCTATTTGGTAGAAAGCTATAGGATGACTTTAGAGAAGTTTTTTGTTCTTTTAGTGAGTATTATTTGAATAAATTTTACGTGTCTTTGAAATGGAAAACTCTTAATTTTGAAGAAATCATTGATCACCAATTTAAATAGAACTACAGAAGTTCTAAAGCTTAGGCAGTATTAATTAGAGAAATTACCCAAAATAGGACTAAAAGCGTTTGTATATTCCAAAATAGGACTATCATATTTTTATTCCCAAAATAGGACTAATTGCTGCCATGTTTTGGCAGTATCAGACTTTAATTAAACATGAAAATATTTTTCAAACTTGGAAGTAATTACTTCTATTTTTGGAATAAAAACATGACAGTCCTATTTTGAAATTTTCATATCTTTTTACTCATATTTCAGGAATTTTCTCAATTAATTAACCTACATAAAAAAGAGTAAAGAAGTTGCACCAAATAGGTGTAAATTAAATGAAAGTTGTGTAATACTAATACTACGTACTTGTATTAAAGAATTAACACAAACAAAGCTTCATCTTTATAGCTAAGGATTATAGTTGGAACCAAAAGTTGCACTAAAAAGGAGTAAAGCTATTGTGAAATTTCAAAATAGATGTACTATTTCCCCTAAGTATGAGTTTATTATCATGGCGGATTTGGAATTATTATTTCAAGTGTTTAATTGTATACAAATAAAAATTTAAAGCAGAATAAATACAATTGCACTAAATTTACACATGTATGTTACTATGTCTTTTAAAAACCGCAGCAAGATTGGTGCGGTTGAACGAGTCTAGAAGGGATGAAGTGTGAAGGTGATGGCGATGTGCAGACCTTGGATGGCGCATTTCGGCAAACTCAGCAGGCGGCAGAGTGGGGGACGAGCTATTCTTGGAGCAAGAAAGAGGATTGTGGTTGGATTTGAACTAGAACACGTCTATGATGAAGATGGGGTACCTCCTGAACCTCCGCCATGGATTCCAACTCCAAAGGGAGATCACAAGACAGATTCCTTTTATTCCTTCTATTTAAATTCCCTTAAGAACTTTACTATGTTATTATTATGGACAATAGTCGTAGGTGTTTTAGTTTTGAGACTACTTTCTGTGATGGTTGTTTAGGTGGAAGCGCTAAAGCTTGGGTGGTCGTTAAAAGCTTCGAAGCTCTCACATATAAGGTTGACGATTAGTCTCGTTCATAACTGAGTGGTCTATTATGTGTCTAATCAAAGAGTGGAAGGTCCGTTTTGCTATGAAGAGTCTCTTAGAAGTAATTTATGATATAAACTTTTTCCTTTCAAAAAAACAATGTCAAAATATACTTTTTCCTTTCACGATAGCAGTAGTTTATTCTCATTTAAGGGAAATTTATGTTTCAAAATTTCATATTGCTTTTACTCCTAATCTGAGAAAATTATTAATTGGAAACAGAGAAAACAGGCGCTATTTGAGAGAGATGTTATGTTTTACTCCTATTTGGTGAATTTTCTCCCACAATATTAGAAGTTACGGAGTATAAAACTACTCCCGTTGATCGGCACGAGGATTAATAAAAAATAAACTGTGTTGTTGAAATTTGTGTAGACGGAATAAATGAAAGAAACCACAAATTGATAGATTAAAAGGGAAAATAACAAAATGTTTAGGACAACCATCCAAAAAAGAAAGATTGCAAAGTTTTAAAAGACAAATGAAGTATTAAGTAATATTCCTAGTATACTGTCTAACAGATATCATGCCTAATACTCCGTAATAATATGTTGGCTGAAATCTTGAGAATATAATTTGCTAGATCCGCCCATTTCACAATAATTCGTGTCATAATACTCCATTCAAGTTGGAGCATGAGGATCCAATTGCTCAACTTGCAAAGAAAAAATGGAATTTTATTTTTCCAAGTTCCTTCACAAGTTGAAAAGTTGTAGGAACATACGAATGAGAAATGAGATGATTTTGTATAGCATCACGAAGTAGATTGAGTCATTGACTGTCACAAAACATAGGTATAAGGATGTTTTCTTTTGGACCGTTTTCAGTCCCAAACCATACCAGATCTTACTAGATCATATCAGACCAGACTTAAATAGACTAGACCAGACCTAAACAGACCAGATTAGGCTAGGCTTGGGCAACTATAAAGTACAAAGAGATCAGATATTTACCAGACCAGATCAGATTTAAACAAATAAGACCAACCCAGATCAGATCATACCATGAAATTTCAGTCCAAAAGAAAACATTCTAAGATTTGTAACTTATGTTCAATTTTTAAACTTAAGGATGTTTTTTACTTGGGCTGTTTTCAGTCCCAGACCAGACTTAAATAGACCAGATCAGACCAGACCAGACCAATTTAGACCAGACTAGACCTGATTTTTTAGTTATAAAATACACATAGACCAGACACTTACCAGACCAGACTAGTTCAGACCAGACCAGACTTAAACAAACCAGACCAGACCAGACTAGGCTTAAACAGACCAGACCAGACCAAACCATCAAATTTCAGTTCAAGTAAAAATATCCTAAGTTACTATGACACTTCATTATAGTCACCGAAAGTCATATTTTTGTAAATAAGTTTTATTTTAGTGATATTTTGTAAAAAATCATTTTAGAAATGCAATAAAATATGGAGAGTAATTATAATATAGGAATTAATATTAGAGTCAATAATTGTCTACAATGATGGTTCTTGGGATGTACTTGTACAAATGAATGGTTCGTGTTTAGAGTCAATAAATGGAAAAAGTGTACATACCGTGAAATTAGACACATAGTTACTATAATTATATCGTCATAGTAAATATAGTGTAAAATTTAAAATAATCATAATAATTACACATACTAATGTGAACACTGTGTCAGTGCATAAAGCGGTTAACTATCTTTATCTTAGTCACACATCTATTATTATCTTTTAAGTCTTTGTAACAAATACGAAGTAATAATTTGTGTTTCAAGTCCAAGTAGAGATCATATGCATTGCTTATGTGCACATCTCCTGCGAATTTGTCAGTGTTCATTGTTCAAGATGTTAAGTTAAAGTGTTTAGTTATGAGTAGAAATCATCATCATGTCACATCCACAAAAAAATAGTGAAATTGGCACGTATTTAGTACAGATTTTGGCACGAATTTATCAAAATTCATAGGGTATTTCACCGGATACTTAAAATCTGCGTCAAATTCTATGCTCACGTCATTTTGGAACAAGTTATTTGGCAAGCTGCCGTTCCAAAAACATGTTATGTTCCGTGCCAAACTCGGTCAATTTGTGCCAAAGTTGTGCCAATATCTTGTTTTCTTGTAGTGATTGTAATTTAGGATTATGATTAATAAAACATCAACTTTATAAATTCAAAATGTTTATGAGATTGTATGAGAATTAATTAATTAGCGATATCTTTTATTTATCTTCATAATATAAAACGCCTTACTATTAGTTATTTCTCCACAAGATTGTACGGAGTAATAAATACGTAGAGGCTGTTTGGCAACCCTCATTTTCGGCTTATCAGGCTTATCAGTCAACTTTTTTACCAAACACGTAAATTTTGCTTTCGCGCACTGAATTGTGTAATAAGCCGAAAAAGTAAGGTTGAAGTTACTTTTCTGGCTGTATTGGCTGAAAATACTGTAGATGACCATTTTAGCTATTTTTACATATATTTTTTTCTTTATTTTATTAATAAAATATATTTTAAAAATATTTTTTTCCTATATCACCACAATCAGCCAATGCAGCCACTTCAGCCAGAACTTTATAAATTTCAGCAGAATCAGCCAGAACAGCCGATTTTCGTGCTGCCAAACGGACTCGTAACCAGAACAAAGTTTCGAATAAGTTTAATTTATACAAGAAAATGTCAAAAGTTCCACAAAACACTGTTTAAATAAAACACTACCAATTTGGTGATTTGATAGTTGAAAACACTACTTAAGTAAAACACTACATAGACACTACTAATTATTTCTTAAAAGTTGTTAAAGAAAACTAAGAAATAAATAAAACGCAATTCGACCAAAGAATAATACTCTCTCTGTCCTGAAAAGTTGGCCAAATTTCCTTTTTTGGATGTCCCAAAAAAATTTTCCATTTCCATTTAAAGTAAAAAATACATGGCTAAAATTAAGTCTCTCTCCCCTGCACAAATTTCAATCACACAGTTTCACTTTATTAATCCACGTGAAAGTCAATTTTGGCCAACCTTTTCGGGACGGAGGGAGTACTCCGCATGTAAGATCCATTTGGGACAAAAAGAGCATATAATGTATACGGATTATATATTTAATTAATTAAGTTTTGATTAAATGTATAATTTTTTTGTTAAGAGGGAATCTATGTTTGGCATCAAATAGACAGACCATTATTGTTCCAAACGTGGGTTCGCAATAATATATATTTTCATTTTCACTCACTTTTTCTCAATAAGATTATATTACAAGCCGAACATACACTTTTTAAATTATGGAAGTGTGCCTCATAATGTTCTTTTCTGATTGTACTCTGCTTAATCCTCCAATCCATCTATAAATGTTTGATTAGCTTAAATTAAGCCACAAATTACTAGTAATTTGTATCTTAGCAGAGTCACAAGCGCTCTTTTTTCTGGCTGACTGGAAAGTCTGGACCGGTGGCTTTCAGGATTTGCAGTGTAGACCAAGGAAAAACAAAGGAGGACCCCCTACGCTTATAGCCTCCAGTTGTAACTTGTAATTGTTGCAGTGAGGTATCTTTCTATTCACTCTCCTATATAGTACTCGTACCATAATATACAAAAAGCAAAAATAAAATGAAATAAAATTAAAACACATCTACTGACTCGATCTTGTTCTATATCACTACTCCAACCATTAGGTGTCGATTCTCTTAACTACCCATTCGTTTCTTTTTCCTCTTTGTGAGCATACTTCTTTCCCTCTACTCTCTCTCTCTGTGCAGTTGTTGCGTCACTTTCTGGTGCTTTTCTTCCTCCTCTCTGACCCAAAGAACTTCTTGGTTTAACTGTTTTTCTTGCCATCTAAACACACATTTTCGCCAAATTCCGTTTTGTACTGGTTTTCCCAGCTGCACTCTGCTTGGAATGGATACTTCTAGTTCTGGGGAGGATTGCTGTGTGAAAGTGGCGGTTCACATTAGACCGCTCATTGGAGATGAGAAGCTTCAGGGCTGTAAAGACTGTGTTACTGTAGTTACTGGGAAACCTCAGGTCTTTTGTCTCCGCCTGCAAATAATGTGTTTCTGAATCTTTGGGTTTTGAAAGTTCAATTCTTTTTTTGTGGTTTGGTATTTTTTTTCTGGGTAATCTTTCGTTTCACCATTTCTTTGAGATCCGGATCTTTATGCTGCTAATTTTCTCAGAGATGGTAACTTTTGGGAAAAAAACTTGGGAGTGAAGTTTGCAGCTTTTGCATGTATCAGCCTGGGGTTCTGTTAATATGATCAGAATTTCCAATTAATTTGTTGACTTTCAAGTAGCACATTTAATGAAAGAAGAGAATTTTACGAAGAAATGTCAATTTTGGTTTCTTAAATTTAGAGCACTGGGTATTGATAATGCTTTAATTTTGGAATAGTTGTGTCTGAGTTCAGTTCTATACGGAAACGAGAGAAACGAGTTTCAAGAATTGTCTAAAGCAGTGGACTACTTATCGTATTTGATCCCTAATAAGTGTCTGTGTGATTTAGATCTGCAGGAGGGTTATCTGATAAATATATACTGTAGCAAGTTCAGATGAAATTCACCTTGAAAAAGATAAATGGCATGCATGCTATTTAATCTCACCTTTCATTTATTATCCCACTTTATCACTTAAATAGGTTCCAGACTCTCGATGTGAAAACAACTTTTTTCCCAGCTTGTTTAGAACTAAAGTCCTTTTCTTATCATTAAACTCTTTTCTGTTTTTGCATCACTCTCTATATCATTTTATTTCTCAAAACTGTTCGGTCTGCGAATGTTTAAATCCTATGTTTCTGAACTTTTGTTTGGTCAATGAAAATCTAAATCCTTTGTCTAAACCAACAAATCTGTGCAAGCACAGATTTTATGGCCTATTTCATGTTATATATATATTATTAATCTGTAAAAGCTAGTTGTGGGAAATTTTGCTGTTAAAACTATGAACTTGTAATAATTCTGTGTT